ATAAGCCACAGCTCTATTCCCGACTCGAAATCCATAAAAGACTTTAAGGGAGAGAAAATAAGGGGCCCTATACCATACATCCTGCTGCCTCGGGACGACTACACCTTACATCATAGCAGCACGACCAAATAGAGGCAGCAAGCAGCCCCTTGTATAGGTTGGGCGCTAGCGCTTTATATTAGACTAATAATATAGTTTCTTAATGTTGGGCTTTTCTCTTATTAGTCAAGTTGCTCGAGGCCGGAAAATTGGAATACAGTTTAGAGGATCTGGTCGAATGGTAGAAGAATCTATGGGTTCGTTAGGAATCGATAGTCGTTGTCTGGACATACGAGTCACAGCCGGCCGGGAAGATGAGAGATCAACGACGAAGCTACTAGCTACTAGTTGGAAAGAAAAGGATAAGACCACCTTTCGTACATTTATACTGGTCCAGAATTCGAATAGCGAACGAAAGACCAGGAGATTGGATCTAGAAAGCACTTCCAGCAGGGTTTACGGTTGTGTGGCCCTCATTCAGCTGGAAGTAAGAAATCAATCCCGGCACGACCGATGACTTAGTCTTAGTCTCCTTCTACGCTTCGACCGTACCCTCTTTCTTTAGTAGCGAGTCTAACTTTACAGATATCATTGATTTTCACCATGACCAGCCCTGACTTGACTGGTGGGAGAGAAAGTCTCAGCGCTAACTCACTAGACGGACAATCGACCCTAGGAAGAGACCCGATTCAGCCTGGGAACATCACTTCCTATAGTGGCAGGTAATTATGGGTTATGCCGCACCTGATTCCCCAGAAACGAGAAACCATCACATCAATAAAGGAATGCAAGTGTAGTTTTCACCAGATCTAATGTCTGATTTCGACCTTGATCTATTTGAAACGAACTGCCCTACGTTCAATAAAAAGAAAGACTGTGTGGCTGTAGCCATGCCGAATGGAGAATGAGGGGCAAGGGCAGACCGCTGCTGGTAGCCGTACGTAATTGGGTGGCGCGCTATAGATCGGATCCTAAGTAGCTATAGGATGAACCCTGGAAGACGGCCCTACCGGAGGAAGCGGGTAGGGTGAATCTCCGTAACGATTCTAACGACCTAGCTAACCGTTGATTCAATGTCCTCTTAATTGGGGCACCGGTTTTTTTCTTGTTTTCAACTAGGTCTTTTCCCTTCGTGGTTAAACATGAGTTTGGAAATGCTCATTCTGTACATCTCCTCGTCAATCTGTGCATGAGCTTCTGGGCTATGTCTCGCTTACCCTCTTTAGTAGAGATCAACTGCTTATACTGGAATTAAGATCTGTTATCCAAGCCTCGGGCTTAATCCGTATAATGGTTATCAACTACTGGCATTGTGGGGTAAGATTTCTTTGACATAGAAGGATGTCCCTCGGAAGGTTTAGCTACGTCCTGTAAGAACTTGCTACAAGCGGGCAACTTACTACCTCTCTGTCTCCTCTTATTATATAGTTGATGGACTTAGTTTATCATATAATATAAGAGACGGGTCGGTGAGCAAATGAGCTGATCTCGCCTTTGTTGATCCGCTTGAAGAGAGTTATCACGACCCTGCTACATGGCGATCGTTTATTCCCAAGCGATAGAGAATACAAAGCACACAAGGCGCATGATGAACAAGAGTAGCTTCCCGTCCCTTACTCCATTTCTTGTCTTAAATCTAAAAAAGAGTGGGCTTCCTTCTTCTATGAGTCGAAGACAGCCTTGAAGCGCCAAACGAACTGACCCTACCCAAGCCTTTTCCAGGCAAGATCTCAGCCAAATGAGCCTGATCGTAACAAGCTTTAATTAAATCAATGGGACCGGCTTAAAAAGATGGAGATTTTTTCTCTACTAGCTGCCCCGCTCATAGAATGGATCGCTCAAGAAGAGCACTTTTCGGGCATAAGATAGCGAAGTTTTATACTATCATGAGGGGGAAATGGAATGAAACTCGTGATTTGATGATGAAAGATCAACCTAGCCAACGTGGCCTAAGAAACCGATTTCATATCTTAAGTAAGAAAGATGAGAAAAGGTTTTCTCGTGCCTTTGACGCAGGTGCCAAAACCAAAGCATACGAATTTCAGTTCTTATGAGCCGGGACACCCAACTTCTCCCGAACAGGCACAAGCTGAGTCAACAATGGAGAGAGACAAGGGAGAGCAACTCTTCCTACTATATCAATTATACTAAAAGTAAGTCACTGCCCAAGGTCTGAAACATGCTTTGTACTCAACCCGATGATCCACACTTTAGGGCCGAACCCACAAGTCACTTTCAACTTGCGACAGTTCTTCGAGGTCAAACCTTCAATCTTAGGGCAATTTTCAATTGGACCCAGACAACTTTGAAGCTTTTCAAAGAAATTTCTTGAAGTCGTTCTTCAAAATAAAACAGATGACATAATAAAAGCTTATAACCAAATCTTTAAACCAAAAAAAATGGGTATACCAGTAATGAATGTCGAATCAAAGAATTGTTCTACCTTTCCTTGAAAGACTGAGGTGCATTGCCTACTCTTCCTGGTGTGGTGGGGCAACTTGCTAGTTTAAGCAGAACATTTGAGAAGGGTTAAACCCTATATTATAGCTTGGGATGGTATCCCCGTGGTTGGTGTGGCAAACACGGGGATACCTCTTGACTCCTGCGGGCTACGTTCGCTCGTTACTTGTATTCCACTCGCCCGTTCCCTCTACCTGTCGTACGATGAGTTAGGCTGGGACTTCCGCTTCGCCCAATTCATTAATAAGTGTTCTGGGAGGGGCAAAGATAGTAATGAGGTGAGGGGAAGGGGTCTTACCTAGCCAAACCCGACACCATTCTTACAGTAGCATTTGACTAAGAGCTCCTTAGTTCATAGCCTTTCGGGGAATAGGGAATGTTGAGGGGGCGAGGCGGCCCCTTCCAAGGACATGCGAGGAGAGTTATCGAGCGAACTCCATTGAAGGCTAGGGGCGGAAGCTACCGGATAGCCCTTTATAATATAGGAGTAGGTCCTTCCTTTCTTGAGTAAGGAAAGAATGTGGAAGAAAGAGCGCATGCATAATAGAAAGTGCTTATTCTACGATCAGCGATTCATTTTTGAAGGCTTAAGCCATTCTTCTTTCTCTAGTCTTGCACTTGGAGTGTCTTGCAGAGGCCAGGGAAGAGGGGTGGCTTGGCTTATCGAGCAGCTCTACCGGTGGAACTGCCATTTATGGCACTGCACCGGTCAAGTAGCGCCCAGCAAGAAATACAATGTTCAAAGCTTCCTTCATGGTTAGTGGCGGAATTCCCTTCCTGGCGATTAATAGAAGAGTCCTATACAACGAGGAGGAAAGAAGTTTCAAACTCTAAACCCAACTCCCCCAAGAAGGGCTCTCAGGCATAAGGATCTTCCATCCTCCTTACCGGAGCAAGAGGCACTCCTAATGCAACCCTGAAGGAAGTCCTCCAAACGCACTCCCTTCCCTTCCTGGTGGCTAGGCTAGTGCAACAGGCCAAGTCAAAAGCTCCAAAGCAAAGAGAAGTTCAACAAGTTCAGGTGATAGGTGATGGTCTCAAGACTTCGAAATCTAGTGATTACTTCCACGATGGTGGGCGAGATAGCAAAGTTAGTGTTGACCAAAGTAGTTGTTGTTGGATTAACCCCTTTTGGTTTTATTATATTCTGATATTTAGTTATTTTTGTTGGCTTGGAAGTCTGCTCCTAGAGTTCATCTACCGGCTCACCTGGGATACGTACACCCTGCTGGAGATCCTTTATTAAAACCCTGGAAAGCCACCTCTTCTTCGTTTTGCTTTTCTGTCCAAGGCTCTTTCGGAGCGGAATGAATTCTACTTTGCAGGTATTTAATACAACGATCCTAAGCAGTAGGAGATGACATGCGACTATATGCTATAACAGTAACAATGATTTTTGAAAGACATTTTCGGCCGGGAGTTTGATCAGAGCCCTCTTATGTTTGTCAGACGAGGGGAATTCATTTAGCCATATATATCCCTCATATATCCCTCACTGCTTCCTCAACGTGGTTTAAAAGCCAGGCTAGGGGCCTTCTCAGCCTTTCTTTCAGCAGATTCTGATGCTTCAGCTTCTTTATACTTGTTATTTTAAAAATAAACCTTGGCTTAAGACTTTAAATATGCTTTTTTTGGCGGAATGAAAGACTCAAACTTTCCGTATATGGGAAAATATCCTATTTTCTTTGTAGTTCCAAGGCGGTCCATTCGAGGCAATAAGGAAGGCTAAGTAGATGTCTTTATCTGGGGAAGTGAGTTTGCTTACGCTATTGGGAGTTCACCTCCAGCTCTTTCCTCTCCTATTAAGTCGAGTGCTTCTGCCCCTGCTTCTGTTTTGGATGGGTATTGAGAAGGAGTGGAAGTTGCAATCATAAGCTGAGCACATTCTGTTCTCTTGAGAATTGTCAACCATATAGTTGGGGTTGCTTTCGATGATGTCGATCCAAGCAATCCAATTAAAGTTGCTCTAACTGAGTTAGCCTTGTTTCCATTGTTTAGTTTAGCTTTTGTGTAAAAGAAAGTAAAGGAGTCCCCCCTTATCTTGGGTCAAGGGAGAAAGGACTAAAAGTCTGGAGGTAAGTCAATTCTCCTGGCAGTGAGGAGGGACTTTCATAAGGCAGTGTATAAGGATATATACCATTTGAGAGCTTGAAGTTTTAAGATGACTATTCCTACCCTGTCTAAGGTGTGTAGGATTTCTCCCAATAGTAGGGGGTCCCCCCCAGTTCTTGTTCACCTGATAGTATACTCGTATCAGTAGTAGTTCTACGAGAGCCATATGAGTAGTGAATAGTTTCCTTCTTGGTATAAGGCGACAGAGGCGAGAAGGGTCGGTAAAGTTCTATTTAAAGCACAAGGGATAATGTTGGGGCTAGATAGTTGGCACTAATTGCTAGATTTCTTTCCATGTCTTAGCACTTTCCCTCTTAGAAGGTTTATCGGGAAGGTCTAACTAGATAACTTTTCCCGAGGTTTTAGTTGCAGTGAATGAAGATTTTAAGGGAAAATGTCTATCAGCAGTTGCAGAAGTTGCACTTTCTTTCTTGGTCCCGGCCCCGTATCAATTGGCCTTGCCTACTTCAATGCCAATGCCTGGTAAACATGTAGAAAAGACAGTTGAGAAGGCGGGCGCTCTTTTCATCCAACTAGAAATATCATAAGAGAAGAAATCTCTGACGCCTAAAACTCCCATGCCTTTCTTGGAAAAACCAAGGCCATTTCCGACAAGTCTTTCTTCATTTTTTGGGGGGAGCAGAGTAGTCCAAAAGTCAACCACACAAAATGATTGTTCTAGAATGTCTATTCCTCACAATTGCTCCTTGTGATGCAGCAGAACCATGGCAATTAGGATCTCAAGATGCAGCAACACCTATGATGCAAGGAATTATAGACTTATATCACGATATATTTTTCTTTTTTATTCTGATTTTTTTTTCGTATCATGGATCTTGGTTCGCGCTTTATGGCACTTCCACTATCAAAAAAATCCAATCCCGCAAAGAATTGTTCATGGAACTACTATCGAGATTATGTGGACCATATTGCCGTCTATCATCCTGATGTTCATTGCTATACCATCATTTGCTCTTTTATATTCAATGGACGAGGTAGTAGTAGATCCAGCCATTACTATCAAAGCTATTGGACATCAATGGTATTGGACTTATGAGTATTCGGACTATAACAGTTCCGATGAACAGTCACTCACTTTTGACAGTTATACGATTCCAGAAGATGATCCAGAATTGGGTCAATCACGTTTATTAGAAGTGGACAATAGAGTGGTTGTACCAGAAAAAACTCATTTACGTATTATTGTAACACCTGCTGATGTACCTCATAGTTGGGCTGTACCTTCCTTAGGTGTCAAATGTGATGCTGTACCTGGTCGTTTAAATCAGACCTCTATTTCGGTACAACGAGAAGGAGTTTACTATGGTCAGTGCAGTGAGATTTGTGGAACTAATCATGCCTTTATGCGTGCGCCCGGAAACATAGGCCGACTGCTGAGCCCACTCTGGCTCAGCCGCACCACCCCAGGGTGCGCCCGAGAAGCAAGCTATTACAGCGAGCGGCTGGAGCAGTATGGAGCCGAGGAGCAAGGCAGTAGATAAGATAGAAGAAGGGGCCAGGCTCCCGGTGGAGGAGAGGAGACGGTTAGGATAACGAACTTGAAACGCGGAGCCCGAGCGGCCGGCGAGCGAGTGGTTAGTGGTCAATAGCGCCCTAGTTGATGGCATTCCTCTCTGCGGCTGGCACTCGAGGAACCACGGGACACTCCATACAGAGCAAGCAAGTCTTAGGGATGAGACGCCCGCGCAAGGACCTCAATTCTCATTAGGAGGTCAAACCAAGGACCTATGGAAGTCGGGGCTACCCCGTCCCCATGGGCAACGCAACAGTGTCCCTGAGGGAGGAGTTTAGAGGCCTTATAGTAGCACGGACTTCTTTTTCTTTCTAGGTCATGCGAAGGGGGCCAGTCCAAGATCGTACTGTTCCTCTACAAAGACAAGAGACGCTCTCAACGGCTAGGCGCCACTCTCTTTCTGAGTTATTCCAGCTTCTTTATGATTTCGTGCCGCGGTGAACAAACAAAAAAAAGAGGGCCGTCTCGGCGGAAGGAGAAGGACCTGCAACGGCAGAGACTGCTGACCCTCTTCTTGTCTTGTTTTTAGCCGTATGTTACGAGTCCGGGAAGCCTCCTCAATTTGAGGGATCCCTCAAAATAAAAATTGAGAAGTCAAAAACCTTCCTCCTGCTAATCCGGCCATTTCTGAACCTGTCTTTCTCACCCTATTCAATTCAATGAGGACTTCTCAATTCTTGCGATTCCCAACTCCCTGAGCTTATTCTTATTATATATTATTATCAATTCAAAAAAAGGGTTAGGGTTCCAAACGGCAAATATAGGTTCAATGATCTCTTTCTTCGATAGACCGGTCCGGCGCCCCGCGTGGTTATATTCGTACATGTTCCGACTCGCCGGTCATTATGGATATAGTGGCATGGCGAGTCAAAGGGGGGGAGTTCTTCTGAAAAAAATGGATCGATGGGAACCCAACATCAACATAGCAGAGTGGCCAACCAAGCCAAGAATCATCGCCCGAGAAAGCAAGGTAAGCAAGGATCGTAGAATATAAAATTCCCCACGTAGCGGTAAGAAAAGAAGCAAAGGAAGGAGAAGCTCTTCTTCCATTCCTCAAATGACTCTTTTCACGAACCCGCAGCTATTGAATCTGCTGCAATTAGCTCTCCAGGGAGCGACGGAACTTCCAGATTCACTTCTTTCGGAGTGAAAGAACCAAAAGCAAAGTAGCCAACAAGGGCCTTAGTCCTTCTGAGATGCCGATAATCTGCTACATTGGTCCACCCGGGCTTTCTCCGATTTTCTAAAGGGATTTCCCCTGGGATTCGACCTCACTGCTGTCAGCCTAGTAAGAAGGGCATTCGCGGGCAGCTTTCGAGAAGGAATAAGCGGTCTTAGGCCTTCAGTTCTTACGACTGTGAGTTTGATTTCCTATCAGACTAGAAGCAAGTCTAGCGAAGTCACCTCGGGATGAAGTTTTGAGTTTTTTTGAACACCCGGCAATCGTAGAGAAGACAGAGCAGTGGAAATTCTCTCTCCTATCGTAAGGCAGGCTGTAGCTCTAGTTCGACTAGCGTGATTGATGAACATGGGCAGCAATTAGTGAGAGTCGGTTGCTGTTCTTGCTTGAGTCGACGGTTCACCCTTGGTTTCAGCTACTGTGATCTTTTCCGCTGCTATTGATGTTGGAGGCATAAGCGCAGCTATTTCATATGCTGCAAAGTAAGTAGTATTTTTGACCGGGGAATGGGAATTCTCTTTCCTAGGGGACGAGCGAAAGGCTGATTAGTCTTTTCGAAAGAAAGTTGCTAGGCGTGCTAGCATGTTAAGTTAATGGTAGCATAGTCTTGGAGGAAGAAAGCGATGTGATGTCTTCAGTTGCTTGCTCTTTTTCCCTTAAGCGAGTTCGGCTAGAGTTTTAAAGGGGGAGTTAGGGTTTTCAAATTTTGAGTACAAATGATTATGGATAACTAAGATTACTACAAGTTCTTACAAGTGTCTATAGATATCGGAGGCTACCCAGCTACAACAACAAAGAACGAAGCTTTTCCTGTTCACGACTCTGCTGCCATTTCATCCGCTACAGTTAGCTCGAAAGCGAATTCAGTCACCCCAGGGTCTCAATCCTAATAAAGGGATAAAGTGAAGTATGCCATTACAAAAATAAAAATGTTAAATGCATAATATAAAAATGATAACTACAGTTTAAATATTACTTGGTGTGGATTTCATTTGTTCTGTGGAGGTCATTTTTAGGAATAAAGTTTATTAACAGATGTGAAGCAAATGTGTTGCTTAGTTTTTCATTTGGATCTAATAATATCTTCAGTCCCCTTTTAATAAAGAGATTATTTTAGGGACTCCGCATATGGAAATTATATATAACTAACTACCAAAGTTAATTACATCCTGGTGCATATCCCCTCCATTTTGAAATTAATTTGACAGGCCCCCTTCGCCCTCCATCAAGTACCTAAAATGCCCTTTTAAAATTAGTTTTAAACCCTAGTCGCTCACAATCGTCTCTCTTTTCCTGTTACAACTCTTGGATTCAAATCTTGCCGCCCATAGATCTCCAACCGGCGAAATTGCTTCCCGAAGTTATAACTCTCTCTCCGGTGGTTGGAATTCGATGGTTTAACTACCGTTGGATTCCTCTCGTCGAGCTTTTTGTTTTGGTGGTGATTTTATTTAGTTTGGAAAACTCAATCTGTTTCTGCAATCGTTTACAATCGGTGCGTATTTCGACAACGGTGGGTCTTGCCGGAGGTGTAATTTGTGTTTCGGCAGTCGGAATTTGACGGGCTACCCACCGTTGGATTCTTCTCATCGAGATCTATATTTTGATGGAAATTTCTTTCATTTTTTTTAATTTTCAGATTTATTTATATATTTTTTTCAAGGGTAAATAGCACTTAACACCCCTGTGGTTTTCACGTTGTGCACTTCACCCCCCTCTGATATCAATTTAAGCATTTAACCCCTCTGTGGTTGTCAGATTGTAGCGGCTGTCTAATAATCCGTGAAAGTTAGCGGAGAGTGCATCTCACTCGCCCAAAATTGAAGTGGTTGAAGGTTTTGCAAGCTAAAATTCCTGATAATAACCATATTGCCCCTTTTCTTTCAATAAAAACCCCTACACCAATCTCTCATTTTTCTTTTAATTAAAAAAAAAAAATAGATTTATTTAAATTTTGTACTATATAATTTTTTAAAATTTTAAATTAATTATTGTTTAAATACATATATGAATTCTTTTACAGCTAATAATCATCATCTGGGATGAAAACAAATTTACAACTGATGCTAAAAAATAAAATGTTATATATATATATATATATATAAAGAAATTAATTAAAAAATTCGAAAGAAAATCCATAAAAAAATCAGTTACAAAATAAGGTTTAATAATGGTTGGTTGATTTATGCAGCCTAATCTTTTTTTTTGATGAAAAAAAAACAGAGAGAGAAAAACGGATGTAAGAAAATGGAAAATGTGGATGAAGAAGATGATTTAATCGACCCGCCGCCGACGAAAAAAACGCACGTTTCTTTCTGGAAAATTTCGGAGGCCATAATCTGGTTGGGGTTCCTGCTTCCCATTCACATACCCCCTCCTTCACCCAACTCAATGCCCCGATTCAAGATCCTGAAATCTAATATATTTTATGTCTCTACAATAATACAAAATATTTATATTTATGAAACCGTAAAATATCAAACCCCCCAACCAAATTCTTCACAAAATTGAGAACTTCCAAGAAGAATCGAAACCCTAGAAATCTGAGATGTTCGCCCGAGAAGACAAAATAACTCGAACAATGGTTTTTTACATGAAATTTTTGGGATGTTTCCTCTGTTTTTTGGATGTAATTTTCTTGGAATTTGTTTTTAAGGGGTCTGGAACAGTTCTGGGGTTCTGAAGGCGAGGAGAAGAAACAATTTTGATAATTGTACTTTATTCCTATGAATTGATTTTATTTCTAATTTAATCCAATTTTTATTTATTAATAAAATGAAATATAACCTGCAAATAGTAGGAAAATGATGGGGTAGTTCAGATATTTAACCTTTTCTGTTAACTTTAACGGTATATCAGACGGCCGCTGCATCTTGTCAACCACAAGGGGGTAAAATGACCAAATTGATATCAGAGGGGGGTAAAGTGCACAACGTGGAAACCACAATGGGGCTAAGTGCTATTTACCCTTTTTTCAATTGTGAGCACGGAACCTTGGGTGGTTAGTGGCGGCTAAGGTGTTGGTAGGAGGCGCTTGGGATGACGAGTTATTAGTGGTTTGGTCTAAAATTTGTAGCATTTCGCAGCTATAGCCTCTATCTCTCGATCTCTTAGTGTTTGTTGATTTTTGAGAGTTTTGATGTTTGTTCAATTTTTGTTGACTTGCAGTAAAAAAATTTTTTTTTTGTTTTCATTTTGCAATTGCAGCCTAATGAAAGCCATTGATCCTCTCCTTGAAGGTGTCAAAAAATTTTGTTGAAGTTACATTTGCTTCAAGTTACAGTGTTCAACAGGTTGTATACATTATTTGTGTATTTCGATTTGTATTTTATGGGTTATGAGGTGATTTATAATATAAATATTGAAATTTGTAAAAAACATTTTGTTGGGGTTTATTAATTTCTTTTGTATAAGCCAGTATTTGTGTGTGTTCATAATTGATCGACTAAAAATATGAGGTCAAAAAAAAGAACATAACTACGAATGACTATAATTTACTACAGTTACATGTAGTTATTCTCAATACCGTAAACATATTGATTTTAAAAAAAGAAATTAATTTTTTTTAAATCAATAAAAAAATATATAAATTAAACAAACAGGTTTAAATACAAAAAAAAAACGAAAATAAATCATAATAAATAAATTGGCGAAAATGCTAAATGCATGACCGAAAATGCTGAATGTCTACATTTAAGGGTAGTGCAGTACTTATCCTATTCAGGGGTATGTCCAAGGATGATTTTGGCTTAGGATTATCCCTAGTTTGTTTCGTAACGAGGGGTGTATATAAAATAATTGCCCATTAATAAAATACATTAATTTTATGGGTTAATGGCAAAGAGGCCCATCACAAGGGCACTTAATTAAAAAAAGGACATCCAACTTTTTTGTGTTTTAAATATTTTCAGCTCTTTCAAACTTTATTTGCAAATAAGGAAAACCATTTTATATATACCAAAATTATCTTCAATTCCTTGAAACCCAATTCAACTTCAATTTCATAATTTACACTCAAATTTCATAACTTACACTACAATTTAGCCAAATTTCACTAATTAACCAATTTTGACCATAATTTTATTTATGACCCAAATTTTGACCCGCCACCACCGGAGACCGCCGGTCAGCCACCGTTGACCACCGGCGTCCAGCGTTAGAACTTTTTTTTTCCTTAATAAAATATTTTAATTAATATTATTGTAATGGCTGCTAAATTACTGTCTCCATTAGTTATTTAACTGTCGGAGACAATAATTTAACAGTTAATTGACTTTATTATTTATTTTTTATTACTATCTTGGCTGCTAAATTACTATCTTCAATAGTACTTTAACAATTTTTTCTTAAAAAAAAATATTTTAATTAATATTACTGTCTTGACTGCTAAATTACTGTCTCCAACAATAATTTAACTGTCTGTGACAATAATTTCACTATATTAATTAATTTTATCGTCTTGGCCTGCAATTTTGTTGTATTCGACCGTAATGCAATAATATTCGTAATATTTTTATTCGAGAAAATAATATTCATAATATTACTGTCCCAAAAAGTAATATTATTGTCTCAGACAGTAATTTAGCAGCCAAGAAAATAATATTAATTAAAATAATTTTTTCTAAGGAAAAAAATCAAGAAATGAAAGTGAACGGCGGTTGACCCTCCGAAAAAAAAAATCAGAAAAAAAACCTTGAGAACCGCCCGGTCAACACCGAAATCTGGTCGGAAAAAAAAAAATTCAGAAAAAAAATTATTTTCT